AAATGCTAGTTTTCATCATTATGATTTTGAGGTCTCCTGTAAATGAGGTTAACCACACTTGAGTTAGAGGACTGCATCTTTCACTGCTTAAAAATCTAGTGCAAACATTTGTCTGGCTGTAGACTACTGAAAAAGCCCTTTGTTTTCGGCACCTGAAGATATTAGCTGCATAGATCTGAATTCTGCATTCTTAAACATAAATACTAAAAAAAATATGCTGTTACAAATATCTAGATGGGACTCTAATTTGGTGCTTTATAGCAGACAGAGTAGAGACAATTTTTACCCTTAAACTTAATTCTATATTTGGCTTTAGCCTGTAGGGATTATAAGAACTATGCAAATAAACAGCCAAAAGTCAGTGAAGTTATGCCTGTTAGTGCCTCATATGTTACTGTTCCTCATGCTTCAGACAAGACTTAGGAATCAGTAATTATTTCAACAAAGAGCGTTCAACATCAGTACTAAAAACCTGCATTTCTTCATTTCATCCAAAAACCCTACAAAAGGTTTATTTAAACCATGCTTGCCTAAAGGACCTACCAGACAGTAACAGACGTGAGCAGATTTGTTCTGCTGGAGTTATAACATGTTAAAAAAAAAAAAAAAAGAAAGAAAAAAGAAAAAATCTGGCAGAGTCCTTAAACTATAAAAATCCTGCAATTACAACCACTGCTGTGCATGATCACCACACTGGAGCCAGACACTTTCACTCATAGCTCAAGCTCACATCCATCTGGAGTCTATCAAGGCAACCGTGAGCGTAACAACTTACACTGGGTTTCAAACTATTTATTTTTTTGTGTTTGTTTTTTAACACTAAAGACACCCTCAGATTTTCCAGGTAGCACCTACTTTAAAAAAATACATACATACACACAAATTATTCATTCCTGGTTTACTTACAGCAGGTTGTCAAACACAAGCTGCAAAAAAACCCAGAGCAAAACAACAAAAAAACCCTCTGCACAATACTGAATCGCCTGTTTCACACAGCTGTATACATACTTGTCTACCAGTTGTTGGATAAAAAAAAATGCATTATAAATATTTTATTAAACATTATTTCGGTACTACTGGCATGAGAAACTTCAGGGGGGGAAGCCTTGTAAGTTACATATTTAAGTTTTTAAATCAGAGTAGTGAGAAGTGAACCAAGGGTTAAAATATTTGTCTTCTACTAATACTCTTAAGTGAAGCTTAAGCCTATAAAAGTTTCTGAAACTTATAAGCACTGGATCTGAGGCATTTTTTAAATACAAAAACTATCATCTCTGTTGCAAAGCTGCAAGTATATTTCAGTTCAGTGCATTTCTCAACAGATCTTAAGTATGAAGAAAAGGTTTGAAAATAAATCAGTATTTCTCCTTTAAAGAAATGGAAGTGACAAAGTTAAAACACTAAGATTGTTACTATGCATTTTCCATTTCTGAATTTTCCTTGTCTGTTAAAAACCACATTACAAGTGGGGAGAAAATCTCCTCTGTGATTACTTTTGCTACTAGAATTTCAAAAGCCATGAAAGATGTAACAGTGAGTGAACTCAGAAACTTCAGAAACCAGATTTATATTAAGAAATTCTTTATAACAATAAAAAGTATATATACCTGCTCTTCACCCCAAACTTCTAATAAAAGTGATTGAGCATTTGAGTAGAATTGCCTCCACTTGAAAAAGCATGCCATAGTTTTTGAGGCCTTTTAAGAGCCTGTTTTATGAAAGAAATTCTTTTCTATATTCCATTACATTTGTATGGCCATCTTTTGTAACCCACAAATCTCTGAATTAGAAAACTGAAAAGTATCACTGAACATCAATATCTGCATGATAAAAAATTTGAAAGGAAGGCCTAGTGTGTAAAGGGAGAGTGTTTCTTCACACATTTTATAAATACAACTTTTAGACTCTAACTTAATTTACAACACTTAGTCACAATTATCATCTTCTTCCTTAGAGAACTCAGAAACCTGAGCCCCAAGTCAAATTTTAAAATGCAAATCCAGCAACAGCTTCTTAATCAGTCCCACAGGGGCCTATAGAGCTGCTAATTCAGCAGAAATCAGGAGAGCTGAAAAACAAAAAGCCAGGCTGTAGCTGTTTTAAGACACTGATCCAAAGTGACTCATAAATCAGCTTGCTATGTTCAAGTTTTAGTCTGGAAAATATTGAAAAACAGCTGTGAAAACCATACAGCCCTTTTTTCTGGCAATCCTGCTAGAGAACTAGAGGATTTATAAAATGTAAATACTAAAGATGTAATACAAACACAAGTGAAAACCATCTTTCAGACTTTCCCTCCTGCCCCACTGACAACTTCAGTATTCTTCAGTGAACTTCGAGAGGGGTATGGCAGTGCCACTGGGAGTCTGCACACACAGAGAGCACTGGCCAATGCTTCACACTCTTCCTCTCTTCATTCCTCCACCTCCGGCTCTGCTGCACCAGCTCTAACAAATCCATGTTCCTGTAATCTCAGGACACACATCCTGGAAGCAAAGGGAAATCTAACTCCAAAACTATTTGTACAGAAAGCCATCACAAATGTTTATCAGTTTTCAGCAGACTGTCTGCCATACAAAAAAGATGGTCTTTTGGCCAAAATGACAGTGAAGCTGGCAATTTTAGCCTGTTTACACCCATTCAGTGGAGTCACTTCCGCACAAAGCAGTAGCCTCACACCTGCCACCAAAAGGAAGGGCATATAACTCAGCCCTCTGGCTCTTTTTTATTTCTCTCCTTAAAGTCATGCAGCCTTTCCACATTAGACACTCTCATTTTATTTCACTGGGGAAATCTGAACACAAAAGGCATGAAAGAGTGAAACGGAGCTTCAAAAAAAGCAACTTCATCTGACCTGCTCTCCATCTGGGCAAGCAAACAGATGGGCAGAGGAAGGTGTAAAGCCTAACGCGGGCCTAGACCTTCTCAGGCACAAGAGCTCTCACTCTCTTCCTTGGGAGATCTCGCTTGCATATGTTGAGAACATGGTGTAATAGTTGTTTTCTAAAGAGGACTGGAAAGCCTGAAATTAAACTACTAGCCTTTGGCTATACCCGCTATGGCCTTCCATAGAAAACACAATAAACATATACCAATAAAATTCATATGCAGTCTTTTATAATTCATAAGTGTACAGTTTGTTGCAACAGTAATCCAGGCTAGTCAAACTTTTTTCTTTCGCATATGTAAATGCATTATAATCTTCAGGATTGCGTAATCCCAGCTCTAAATTCTGGGGTAGCTGGAGGTTAACAGACAACCTTCCTTGTTCTCTTACTAAGAGGGGAAGGAAGAAAGAGGAGGGCACTTCTAAGGCATTTGACACAAACAAAAGAAATATTTACACAAAAGCGGCCAGACCACATGGTTTGGTGACACCTACAAAGATGTACTCCTGTGAGTTTAAGAGCTAGTGACACAGCTGCCCAATGAGTAATCACAGCAGGGCTTCTTACAACAGAGCAAAGCTTATTTATACAAGTGGAACTTATTTTCTCACACTTTTAAAGGAATGTGAACTTATATAAGGACAATTTACACTACCAAGGGAATTCTAATTAGAGAAGCCTTCCTTGTGCTAACAAAAAAGCCTGCAATGTGTTCTATTGTCTTTCAGTAACATAAGTGGAAAAGACAAATCTGGATTACTGCTAATGCAAAACGCTTTTTAAAGCGACTCTTAAAATGGAAGTCCTGAGATTCAGCCCCCCTTTTTGTTTTGTTTTTTTTTTTTGTTTAGCATGCTGTCACACCTGAATTTTAACTGAACAGCCCTAAAGTAAGCTAAGCTAAGAAACTAAGCTACGAAGCTTAGCTTTAGTATCAAAAAAGCCTTAGGGTTTGTCAGAATACTTATGCTAGCATACTAAAATAGCTCAAAGGAGCAGGAGGAATGAAATTTAATAGGAAGCAAAACCAGTTGTTGAACGTAAAGAAGAAGAAAATGAAGAAAATTTAAAAAAAAAATTATTTCCCCTCACACTTTCCTATACCACTCCTGGAAATATTCAGCTCCCAGAGCCATTCCTATGTTCAGTTCCATATGGTGTCAATACAGCCATCCACATTTCATGAGTAAAGCAGCATGACCTCCAGACGAGGCAATTGAACAGAATTAGCCACAACTAATTGAAAGTCTTCCTGTTTACTTTAAAGTCCTTATCTCAATCTGCTTTGGAAATGTAATAGAAAATTAATACGGCTAATACAGAAGATCTCTCAGTGACAAAAGATTAAAAACAAATGGGGAAAGTTCCTCAGATATTTTCAAGCTTTTAGAAAGCTCCCTTAACTTAGGTTTTGCCCATAAAAGTTTGTCATCGAAAAGTAAGTTTCTACAGATGGCATTTCAGCCCACGTTACTGGGGATTCGGCGAACCCATGCCACCGGACCCAGTGGGGGCAAGCCCCGCTCACAGAAAAGCCATTACAGACCAAACCATAGGCGAATCGAGGTGAAACCGCGCAAGTAAAACCGAGACCCAGTTCTCCCGGCACGCAAATCCATACTAACTTTGTGACTATTGCACGTTTTCCAACAAAGTCATCACAACTTTCTTCCTCCCCCTCCCAAAACACCGAGGGGCGCTCCCGGGCCCGTTCTCATTTCCACCACACCGGGGCCGCAATCCCGCTGACAGCTTGGCCGCCGGCTGCTGCCCCCCCCCCGCGCACCTCGCTGCCGGCACCGCCACGAAACACGCGCTTCCCTCCCGAAAAGCCCGTCCGGACAGGACCGCAGCCCCCGGGAGCAGAACATGGCGGACGGGCGCGGGCCGGCACCCCCAGCCCCCGGCGGTGCCCGCCGCCCCGGCACTCACAGTTGCACCGCCCCTCGCGGCAACCGCTCGGGCAGCCCTCTCAGCTCCAGGCGGCTGCAGGCGACGAGGTGACCGGTGCAGCGGCAGGGCGCGGGGCAGTGGGCGGCGGCGTGATCCCCCAGTAGAAGCAGCAGCAGCAGCAGGAGGAGAGCAGCGGACACCCCGCGGAGCCGGCGGGGCATGGCGGGCTCAGAGCCGCTGCCCGCGCTCCCGTCCCTGGGGTTCCCGCACTGACAGACCCGGGCGCGGCGAGACCTCCCGCCTCTCAGCGCGGGTGGCAGCTCCCGCTCATGCCCCAGAGCCACCGCCAAGGGGGGAAGGCGGTGGTAGAGGGGGTTGTAGGAGAAAAGTAAAGGGAGACAGCGGCAGGGGGCCACAGCACCGCCGCCCGCCAGCCACTCCGCAAACTTTCCGCCGCCTCAGCCCGCCTCCGAGCGGTCGGGGGAGCCCCGAGCACGGCCCGGCCCGCCCCGCCCCGTCGCAGCCCCCTCCCCCTGCCATGTGACGGCCGCACCCCCCGATCGCCCCGGCGGGCCGGGGCCGGGGTTGCGGGTGTGGGGTGCCGGGTAGGGGTGCGGGTGGGCTGTGGTCGTCCACCGGCTGCTGCCAGGCCGCTGCAGCATCCCGGGCCCGCTGGCGGGCTCGGGCGGCAGCCGGCGGGTGGCCTCTCAGCACAGCGGGCGTGTGTGTGGGCCCTTGCTCCCTTCGCTGGCCTCACTAGAGGCGGGCAGAAGCACCGGGCTGCCGTGAGCATCGGGCACTGCGTGCCCTCGGCGTCACTCGCTGGGCGCGGGCCGAGCCACGAAGACAAGGGCATGGAGGCCCTGCCCGTGCGGGATTCCCCTTCACCGTCGCACTGGTTTAGCATGGATTGGGGCAATCCAGAAGCTGTTCTGGAGGCCACAACGGCTTCCCAGCCAAGCCTGGGGTCACTGGCATGTAAAAGGTGAGGTGAGGTTAACTCCTGCCTTCTGGGTCCTACTCAGCTAGTCCAGACACCGTAATTAAGCCCATTATATTCCCCACAGGATCCCAGTTCCAGAGGTTCAGGGAAGTGGGCAGGGCGTACAGATTCCACATCTCTGAGGTAATCTGTGTAATTTAAGTAAATACCTATTGTTTAAGTTCCATATGTAAGCCCGGGCCTTGCAATGGATTCAATTACTGTAGGCTTCACACACCCCTAATATCCAGCAGCAGACATCAGACTGCGCACAGGCGCTGTGCTATCTCTCCCACCTCTATATGTTTCACCTGAAAGACTGTAGACATCTTAGGCACTGGGAACCTGGAGCCTCAAAAGCCTGACAGCTCCGATACAAAGATTTGTAGGGCTGAAGGTTTGTCCCTGTTTTTATTGATCCCATGTGTATCTCAGGATGCAGCTGAAATTAAAGAAACGAAACTACATTTTAGTCAGGAGTCATGAACTTGAAAGCCAAGCTGGCAAGCCCCAAGTGACTACAAACATTCATGTGCCACTGTCAACATAACTGTTTCAGATGCACAGGGTGTGTAGAGCTGTGTGGTGTTCACTGGTGCTCCTTAAGGAAATTGCTGTGGGAAAACAAGCAAACACTACAGGGACACACATTTTTTTCTATACTTCAAGCAAGCAAAGAAAATAACATGATAAAAAATAATTAGTGTATCCTTACAAGTTACTATCATTTATTTCTCGTAAATTGAATACTGCTTTGGCATCACTGGCATGTCATAGTTGTTCAGTTTCTTTGCAGCTTCTGCCTTGCTTTCAAAAATGTTGACATTAGATGAACAGAGCCTGTGAAACACTGAGCTGTTCTAAACAGCCAATGGGGCAACACTAGATTCTGATTTTCAAAGTATCAGTTTCTGTTCCCATTCCCAAAGTATCTGTATCTGTTCCCATTGAAGTCAGTGGGAAAGCTTCCTTCTGTTTCTGAAGTGTCAGCATTTGTTCTAGCTGACCAGTGGTTTCACGCCATTATACTAAGATAGAGACCTTGAATGTGTTCTGTTCATTTAGTTAAAATATGTTATACTTGATACTTTTGCAAAGTAATCAAAAATTCAAGAGAAAGACCTTCATATTCATGTTGCTCAAGGGAATTATTGAGCACCTTACTAAAATTAAAATGGATTTAAAATAACTAACCCTTGTACTACAGTTCCCAAGATGCACAGCAAAGAGCTTCTTATTTGGGAAAAATGAGCTTGTCTTATCTTGAGTGTTGGCAAGGGCAGCAATTCACTAGTAAGTAGCAACAGAGTTGTTAAACCATCAGTTTTAATATCCAAAGGAGAGGAAAAATGGAAACAAAGCATTTTGAACTTATTTTATCATAGCAGTCAGTAATATACACAGTGCATATTTGAACTACGGAACAAGAGAGAATCTTAGAAAAGAAAGCAGAAAAAAAGATGAAAATGTTGAAAAGGGCAAGAACTTCTGTTTCTGTAATTTTGAAAACCACTCATGCAGTCATGGAATACTGTGCCCTTTTTAAAAACTAATGCATGTTTCGTGCTAATATATGAAGCTGTTTTAAGTTAAGCAAGGTAAATCAATTCAGAAAATTAATCCATCTTCGCAGCTTCTTTTCTCAAAATATTTAATAAAACATTTTAAAACTGATTGTGTTACGAATTCAAAAAATGCTTATGTGATGTACTTCAGAGCCCATGACAGAAAGTCTTTCTTCCCTCAAGGGGATTTGCTTTCTTCAGAAGTCTCAGGGACCAGTTCTGAACCTGATTCGAATACTGCAAGTGCTGGCAGCCCCAAAGCCCAGGGGTCTCTTCATCATTGTGAGAGACCACCATGACTGTATGTAAGCAAATGCAAATGTCTCCTTCACAGGTGTGGCTGGATTATATCTGCCCTAAGTAAGCTTGCATCAAAACGAGAGGCTTCACTGTCCTCTACCCTGTTATCTCCACATGTAGCAAGGGATTTCTGATGACCCTTGTTTGGCATCAGCATTACTGTAAATGCATATTCAACAGGATTAAGGAACTGATTTTACTGAAACCCCACCAAAAATAATAAAACACACACCCACACACACACGTCTCCACCCTCCTCCCTTTAGTTCTGAGTAGGAATAAATTCCTTGTCCAGCTCTCCATGTAGCTGCACAAGGAAGAGGACTTGGTGGTTACACAAAGACAGGCCCTTTCTATGGCAGCCTGAATATAGCTCAGCCTGAGGGGATAACAATGAGGAGGGGGAAGCACTGCTGCAGAAAAAAAAATCTTTGTAAAACTAAAGCTCTCTCTTTGGGTAAAGAAATTAGTTTCCTCCACAAGCCTGCTGAGCATTTTCGTCTGAGTGAGTTGGGAGTGGAGGAAAGGAGGTTGTATAGTGATCTGTAGGCCCTTCATTGAGATGTTTTGGGTTGACTCTAATGGTGCCTTTTTCAGTTCCTGATTATTTTAAATCAGATAAACAGGGGTTTACAGATTCAAGTCCAAACATATGTTGTTTAAAATATGCATTCACTTCAGGCAAAAGACACACCCAGAAGCTGTCTAGGTATAATTTTTTTTACATATTATTAACACATTGAAATCGGGCACTGCTTTCAAGTAACCTACCTCCAGAAAAGGTCACCTTTGAATCAGGCTGGTTTTAACAGATTATTACAAGTAATTTACCTATTGCTAAATTAAGCAAAACCAATTTAAGATACTGTGCATTTTCTGTTCCGAGTTAAAATTACATTAGTAACTTCAACTGTTTAATCTAAATTCAGTTCTTTTAATCAGTTTTCAAAGGAGTTTCAAGATACTAGAGACAACTACATATAGTTGTATGCAGTTGTGTATAGTTAAACCTGCAGGATTTATGTCAGAATGTCAAAAGGAGTGAACATTTACATCTGCTAAATGTTTACGTTCATTAAGGCCATCCCAGGAATTAAGAGTCTCCCCATGTTCTTCTCCTGGATCACCAGGTAATCCAAATCTGTGTCTAGTATTTGTTTCAGATTTTCTACTTTTCATGGGTAAATAAAGTGATTTAGGTAGTGTTCAGCAGCAAAAAGCAGAAGCAAAGGAGAACAACATTTCTTATGCTCTAACACATCTCAGTTCTGATGGAGTGAGATAGATATCAATCACGCATCTATCCACTTTCTTATCAGGAAATGCCCCTCTAGGAGTATTAGCAGAATTAATGTCCTGTCTATTCATGAATTTTCCCAGTTCTATTTTATTTCTAGTCAAAGAAGATGTTTAGGACTATCTGGGAGAAGGAAATGAAGAGTTCATCCTCTCAAGATCATCACTCCCTATTGCAGGTTCCTCAGTTTAATCTGTTAAAAATAGTAATAAAAAAATAATCTTAATGCTAACAAAACTTTTCCTAAAGCTATGACTAGGGAGAGAGAGAGAGAGATGAGCCAGTGAGACCCATCCTGCTTTAAAAACAGAAGTGGGGTAGGACATGCTTTTTGTGAAGGCTGCTTGCATACATGAAATAGCTTGCAATAGGCAATAGAAGGTTTTGCCTCAGATGCTTGTCTGGAAGTTACTAGACAGTTACATAAAAACTCCCTACTGGATGCAGAAGACCCTTTTGGCTTATTCATTTTCTGTGTGTAAACAAGAACCTCATCCAATATAATGGAATATATTTCATGGAAATTATTCTAAACTACTCTAAAGAGGTTTCCTACCCTCCTTTTCTTCTGCCCATTGGTTATAGCAATTGATACTACTTTTAATTTATAATAGCACCAAGACTTCATGGCCATTTATTTCAATTTCTATGATTAACCACTGCAATTTCACTTGCATTTGAGGAAAACAATAAAATGTTCTTAAATAATTTCCTAGTAACTGTGAATCTCCTGCTAGTGTGTTGTAAGTCCATGATGAATATCCCAAGGTGGATACCGAAATTTATTTTTGGTAGCAATTATACGTGACTTTGTGTGATCCAACACTGACGCTATGAAAACCAAATTAGGCATAATTTGAATGCACTGATTACAACCAGTAAAACTATACGAACTCTTTCTGAAAACTTTGCCTAGGGCAGAAAATGTTCAGCTTTTATAGAATTCATCCAAACAGTGAGTGTTTGCCTACATTACAAATAAACTTAAACATCCTAAGGCAATCTACATTAGTGACATTGTTAACGTCTTCAAGTCATGTCCTGCATGGGGCTAAGTGGGAAGTGAAGTGCATGATTGGAAAGACAATTAAACAATCAACATCTACAATGATGTAACTTCAAAGAGGGAAAAAGAAGAGTTAGTTTTAGGTCATTAAGGAACACTCGAGTTGAAATGTTGTCAATTTGAATAAAAATAAGTAGATGTAATTTCAGGATGGTGCTACTGTAATAAAACACCTGCCATGTCTGCTCTACTTGTTTTAGTTTGTTGGGTTTTTTAAAATAATATTTTAAAACGTTTTGTGGTAAGAAAGATGAAGAAGTGGCCAAAAAGGGAATATGAAAGAAATGCCCTGTCTAGGTGGCTGTCCCAAATAATAATGTCCTCAGCTTTTCCCTCTTCCCCTTCCTTGGCATGGGGAGGTTACTGCACCTGAAGCATGAACACGTGTTCCCTTCTGCAAGGAGGATGGAAATTTCTGCCAGAGGAGAGGTGTGGGTGCTTGAAGGCTGTACCTACTTAAATCATCACATGCAATTTTGGTAAGATTTTCTGTTAGTGTTTTGCAGCCCCCAATGTTAAGTATTCACCACATTTATGTGTGTAACTCTCACTGAAGTCAACAGCTTAAGGAATCTCACACGGAGAAATGAATGGGAGTTAGGGCCTAAATCTCTGAAGAATTTAGGTCTGATTGTCTGTTCCAGGGAGGGGTAGTGGGTAACAAGCTGCAGCTGGGACTCATCTTGTGTAATTTTAGCAATTTGGGAGTTTGGTATCTATTCTAAAGCAGTTGGCTCAGCTTCTTTTGTAGTCAGTGGAGAAAGACACATCCAGAGAGTGATTACTACCTTTCTAAAATAAGCAATCAAGCCATTTGGAATGAATCAGCCTCTGGAGGATTTTCTTCTTTGCTGACTAGAAGGACCCTTATGACTGGTTTAGATAGACCCAGGATTTTTAGATTATTCTCACTCTGTGCCTTCAAACATACACTTTAAATAACTAAACAGACTAATATGCAAGCGTATTTCTCAAACTTCTTCTGTAATAAGTACCTTAA